GGTGATATTGGTGTTTGTTGAAATTTTTTATTTGAAACCTTTATAGTTTATGATGGCAAATGGGACTTTGGTACGTGTGCTCATTCATTCAAATGTTACCAAGTACCTCAACTTTAAGGCAGTAGATGGTAGTTTTGTCTACAATAAGGGAAAGGTATGCATTGCTACTTATACTTTGATATATATTTCCAATAAAATTTTACTACTACTTAAATTAAATCTAGCCTGCATATATATATTTCTTGTTTAATTCTTCTTCTCGAAAAACTATTGCACAGATCTACAAGGTCCCGGCAACTGATGTTGAGGCACTGAAATCACCATTAATGGGGTTATTTGAAAAGCGTCGTGCTCGAAAGTTCTTTGTGTTTGTTCAAGATTTTGACGAGAGTGACCCTAAAACTCATCAAGGGATTAATTTGGACACAATCACTGCAAAAGAACTTATTGCGTTAGTTTTTTCATACTTATTCACTGTTTATAATATATTTATAGGTCTCTGCATTATTCTTTTTTTACTTGAATGTTGACTAATCTCCATTGTTTTTCTCTATAATGCAGAAAATATGAACTGGAAGATGACACGATTGATTTCATAGGCCATGCTCTGGCGCTCCATATTACTGATAGTTACTTAGACCAGAAAGCTCTCGATTTTGTGAAGAGAGTGAAGGTGTATACTTATTCAACAATTAATTCTAGTTTAACTCATTTTATTTAGTTAAGGCCATCTTAACATGCAGATTCTTGTTCAAATAGTTGTATGCAGAATCCTTGGCACGCTTTCAGTCTGGATCTCCTTACATATACCCACTATATGGACTCGGGGAACTGCCTCAGGCATTTGCACGTCTAAGTGCAGTTTATGGTGGGACTTACATGTTAAACAAGCCTCAATGTAAGGTAAGTTAGTTAATTTTTTTTTTTTTTTTTTTTTGNTTTAATTTAACACCATGAGTGACTTCTGGTTTAGACTGCACTTCTCAGCTAAAAGCAACATTTTCTCTGTGGGCTATTCCCTAACACATTTTTTCGATTTTATTATGCTAAATCGGTGAGAACTCATTTTAATTCATAAACAAGACTGCATGTTATGTTGAATTTATAGGTGGAGTTTCAAGAAAGTGGGAAAGCAATTGGAGTAACATCTGAAGGAGAAACCGCCAAATGCAAGAAAGTCGTATGTGACCCTTCATATTTACCTGATAAGGTGACTTTTAGCAATTTGAAAAATAGTTGGACATGTTTCATTATAAAATAGTTGGAATATAATCTGAAAATGAATTATCTTGTAGGTCCAGAAGGTTGGAAAGGTTGCCCGTGCCATTTGCATTATGAGTCATCCAATCCCGGACACAAATGAGTCTCACTCAGCCCAAGTCATTCTCCCTCAAAAGCAACTCGGTCGTAAATCAGATATGTATGCATTTTCCAGCTTAATCATCCATATCTTTTCCAATTACAAAATATTTTAAAGTGTTCTACCTTTCTACATAATACTTTGGAGTTTGGAGATAGTATATACATATGCTTGAGCCCCAAGATCATTAAATTTAAATTTTATAAGAAAATATATAGTTCAGTTATCTTGGGAAAATTAAAATTAAAGTACCCAACTGGTACTGGATCTTTTTCTATTTTTTCCTTTTTTAATTCCATCCATTCAGCTAAGCATGAGTAGAGTTAAAAACAACAATATGAATTCAATGTTTCTCACAAGTCAAAATAAAAAATTTGTTTTCTTCCATGATACAAACTTGTATAAAGCTATCAATCAACCTTTGATGTTACAGGTACTTGTTTTGTTGCTCATATGCTCATAATGTTGCCCCAAAAGGAAAATTTATTGCATTTGTTCTAACGGAAGCCGAAACTGACAATCCGGAGGCTGAACTTAAGCCTGGAGTCGACCTTCTTGGACCAGTCGATGAAATATTTTATGAAACTTATGACAGATTTCAACCCACTAATGACAGTGACACTGATCATTGTTACATATCCACAGTGAGTTCTATGCACTTCACTCCATCTATCTTGACATGAATAAATATGCACTCATCATCATGATAAAGGCCAAACACACATGAACAATTTGTTTCAAGTTTCTTCAGAGCTTTATTTTCAATTAATTGTTACTTTTTTTTTTTTTTTTTCTCATGTTGTAGAGTTATGATCCGACAACACACTTCGAGACTACAGTAACAGATGTGCTCGCAATGTACACCAAGATAACTGGAAAAGTAAGCTTTAAATTGATTGTGTTTTCTTTAATTAGCGTATTTAGAAACTACAAAGTTATTAACTGATATTGATTATTTGTTTTATTTTCCAAACACAAAGTTCTTGACAAGATGACAAAAGTATGATTTTTTTATTTTTTTTTCCTACTCTTTTTAAATGTTTACATCAGATAATTTTTGTTGTCATCTATTTCGCATGCCATCGGATCAATATTGTTTCTTCATTTATTTTTCTATACGCGTGATGATAAAACAAATCATAAGATAGCAATATAAGTAATTATTAGCTTCAAGTTACTCTTTCATTTCCCATTCAAGGCTCTCAATTTTGAGTTTCATATATAGTTTCTTACAATATGATTTTTATCTAGCTTAATTATTTTCTTGTGATATTTTGTGTTAGGTTCTCGATTTATCGGTGGACCTAAGTGCAGCTAGTGCTAGTGCTGAGAAATAAGCTCCTTCTCCATGACCTCGGTTTTGAATTTTGATTTTTTATTTCGTTTTTGTTAACATTAGTAGGCATCCAACTATTGACATGAAGTTGGATACCGACTTTGGACCTCACACTATTTAGTGCATAAATATAGTGTATGATTTTCATAAATTTATCTTTTACTTATTTTATTTTTTCCTTTTATCATCGGTAGTGTTTTGTCAAACTATTTTGCAGTTCTCAGAAATGGATTTCCTTGTGTTGGATTTCGTTGTCTTGGGAAGTAGATTATTATTGTTTTTAGAAATCCAAAGTATTTATTTCTATTGTATGATGGTTTAGGAATGGGATATCACTTAGTATAGTGTAAGTAATTGCATTTTACTCTCTTGTTGGGTTATGACTGGCGCACGCGACTTATTTAAGACCAATTTAACCATAAAATAAAACCAGGTTTATAATTCCGCTCTATGTGCTCGATGCTGATTGGCCAATCGGGACTGGTTATCCTTGACAAACCAATTTGATTTTCCATACCACGTCGGCGTCAAGCTATAATTAATTATCCTTGACAAACCAATTGATTTACCATACCACCTCGGCATTTGAGTGTTCAGTAGTCATTATCCATTGTCCAAATACCAAATCAATCTGAATATTTTATGACGAAAAACACCATATGCACACTAGCACAGACGCACAAATACAAATTGATCAACAATCAAAACACCTATCGATTTTAGTGGTATCTTCAGAAAAGAATGCAACTCGCCACTACTTCCAGAAAATTACACAGAACTAATAGAAACAAAACAAAACAAAACGAACCCATTCTATACAACAAGTCTTCCATTGAAGCTTATCTGAAAAAATCTGCAATTTCAAACAAGAGATTCATATCCAACTTGTCTTGTCGCCTATGTAGCTACAGCAAACAAAACAGAGTTGAAAATTTGCAACACAACTGTATGAGGGAAGAACAATGGCTCCTATTTCTTTATTGGAGCTTTAGCAAGCAAGCCATTTTATAAGAGTTACAACCGATCATATATTAGGAGAAATAATAACCGATACTATAAGAAAGAATATCGACCCCACTAACACATCATCCAGGGATAGCGTGTGGAAAGCCGTCTAATAATGCGCGCCCATGAAAAAGCTCGGCCCAAACCACTCGTTCTCCGAGAGCCTAAATATCGGCTGTAGGGTAAAGACCCAGCATAGAATTACGTCCACCGTTAGAATCTCCATAATATGGAGAGTGCAGCTCGCCAGAATGTGACGACTTACGAGGTCTCGTGTTTTTGGGCGAGGCACTGTATGAGTCAGTCGAGCCACTGCTCGTGTTATAAAAAGACGAGGTCGGAAGCCCGTGGATCTTTGGCAGGCCAGTTGGGTCAGTACTCAAGCTGTAGCCCCTCTCCACAGACTCGGCTTCAAGCGGCAATTCATCCAGAGTCTGTGTATGGAGAAGTATATTACATCATTTGCATGAACACAATCATATGCAAGTGGAAAACTAAAAAATAAAAAATGTAAGTGGGATAAAATTGAAGTAGCATTCTGATGGAGACGAGACCGCGATTGCGTTTCTAGATAAATATGATCGTCTCCATATTTAGTTTTATTAATTGTAGTCTTTCATTATTTTTTCCTTATTTCTAGTTGGTAGGAGAATATTATTATTTCCTTATTCCCTTATTTCTAGTTGGTAGGAGAATATTTATTTATTTGGTATTTTCTTGTTTAGCAAGTTAGGGTTATTAGTTTTGAGAGCCTTATATAAAAGACTCTCCTGCTTTATTGTTACTGGTAAATTGATAATAAGAATTGATTGAGTTTTGTGAGTTTTACAGAAAGTGTATCTCGTTTATTCTTCCCACTCGTACGCTTCCCTACATCACATTCTCTATATATATCACCATTGCAGACACCAATTAGAGAGATTCGAGAACTTTGGATTTATATCCCCTAGTGAAGGTGCAATACGTAACATAGAAACAATTATCAAGAAAGTATGTGATTTTTAGAAAGATTGCTTAGGGAAACTTTAATGCTACATTTTGTAATTAAAACCTGTTCGGGATATGAAGCACTCACCCGGAATGCTTGCTGCAGAACACGAAGTGTCTCCCGAGTACGCTTTCTCTTCGTGGCCACTTCATCTGGTTCCTGCAACATCTCTTCAAACAAATTGTCTCTGGACAAGACATAGCAACGCATCAGCATCACTATCATTTTTTTTCCTCGAGTCACCCACAAATTGAAATTTACTGATCTTGTGATCTTTTGGTTCTTTTCCTTTAATCCACAAGATTCAACGCACTACGTCAAATTTACAGAAACAGAGTATACCTGTAAAGCTTTTTAATGAAGACATTATGAAGCTCTCGTTTGGTATGGTTCACCTACAAAATCAAGATACAATTTTTCAATGTCTCTCAGTTATGATGAGATGAGACTCAAACAGGTCGAGTTTATTGGAACACACTTTGAAAAACAAATGAAAGTTGACCATAGAAAATTGAAAATCATACCTTTGACTGCACAGGTATAGCAGCGACATAACATAGTATTTCAGAAAAAGAAGCAGAAGGGATTTTAAAATTTAGGAAAATTCAAAACCAGCATTTGCATCCGATGCTGTAATAGTAATTTTTAGATTTCATAATGCCCAGTTGATAAATCCGGTCAAAATGCTTGAAAAGAATAAGCTAATTAATCCATAAAGCCGTGCAAATTTTAGATAAATAATATATGATTACCAGAAAATGCATTATTGCTTTTGGTACAGAATCCTCAACATTCTTCCGGACAATATCATAATATGATCTTAATAACAGCTTTGTAACAGCAATCTCAACAGCCTCTTGATCCGAGTGTGATTCTGAGGGCCTCAATACGCTGGGAGGCTAATATTAAAGCACCATGTCAATAGCCAGCAATAAAGATCATACCTCTAACGACAAAATTGACTTACAACAGCGAAAATACTCAGCACACCTCTCTCAAATGAATCATTGAGATGCCCTGGTCCATGATCTGAACAGGTTCACTGAAGGGTTTGCTGGTTGAGTTCTCTTTCACAGAAGTGCGATTATCATGGCTACCGAAAATAGAAGATATCCCCCAGTTCGAACTATTGTTAACTGGTAAAAAATTCAAGATTACATACAATATCAGAATTAGTCATAAACAAGCACCTAAACCATTTGCAGCTGTCCCTAAAAACATTTCACAAACAAACTTTAGAAATGGATTCGTCTTAATATAGTAGTTCTATCGTGTTTCTGCAATAAACTATGTCAGCAGATCTTTTGATCCTCCGGCAGATAATAATGTGTGGAATTGCCATGTTTATCCATACGAAACTGACAAGCGTACCAGGAGGTGTCGGCTTCTCAACTTCAGCAACAGGTCTGGCATTCTATTTCACCAAATAAAGTGCATTAGCAAACAAGCAATCAGTCATTTGGTGTGTGTGTGTGTGTATGGAGTTGGAGTGAGGTGGTAGAAAACTAAAATTTTGCCTGCATCAGGCACTTAGAGCACACAATTACCTGCTCCGGAACAATTCCATTCGCTTGGCGAGCAAGAATAGCACGAGATTTTAGACTTCTCTCAGAATTTGGTGCTTTATCTGAATCTCCTGAGTCCTAATAAATATATGCAAATCGTTCAATCACCGGAAGATCCTGATAATTAAAAAAAAAAAATGGCGAAGTAATACTATCCATCCGCACAGGAAGGTACCTTTGGCCTCGGCACTGCAGCGATTCTAGAAGGCTTGGTCTGTTGTAAGGCAATCTCTACAGCTTTACTACCACCAATAAAATTTGGATGGGAAGTATTTATGTAGTCCATCTATTGCAGGATAATAAGACTTCAGCAGTGTTGTAACAATATTATGCAGAACGAATACAGGCTGGTATGCATAAAATAAAACTAAATCATATTCTGAAGCAAAGATAGGTTATGGAAACGATCAAATGGCTGCATTTTGATACAGAAAAATGACCTGTCTGATAATGTGAGAAAACTAACAGACATCAAGACGCATATTACCTCCATCTCAATAATATGTCCGATCATTGTCTCTGAAGGCTCAAGACCTTCTCGCAAAAAATTTCCAATAACCTCGTCCATGCGCTTTCGCAGGACTGGAAACCGTTGCATTTCGTTCACCATACAGCGGTGGCTCATCTAAAAAGAAAAGCCCGATAAATACGCCCAGATTATATACGACACATACCAATATGCCATTATATAGTTTTTCAAACATGCACCTTAATTAGCTCATCGTATATAAATCTAGCACACTGAAGACTTGGATCCAACAAACGAGCTATTTGTCTTCTGATGAGAACCTCAAATGGAACCTACAAATTTGTGATATCTCACGCAATTGATTACTCAAAGGAAGCCAAAATGCCGAAACAAAAATAATTACATTTGTTAATATAAAATTAAAACAGATACAAGAAGAAAGTAAAGTGTTCTGGTAAAACCTACTTCTGGTACAAATAATGCAGATTTAGGACCAGTTGCATTTTGAATGGCAGTACGGATGTCATCATCAGTTAAATCCTCACAAGGGTCAACATCCTGCATAAAGAGAAAGAATCCCATCAGATCCTACAAGAGTCGATACACACGATTGATTGGACATGGAAGGCATCAAGAAACCCCATCCCAACAGTATGCATATAGTTGTTAAAAATGATACAAGGAGCACAAGGTGCTGGAATTTAATGCGAGGCTCATAAGGCGCAATGAGGCATGCCTCACTGATTTTTTAGGCTACTTTAAGAATGGACTGATGATTCATTAAATTGGGTATCATACTATGGTTTATCATAATGGGTTTATATATAAAGACGATCTTAATGGATTAGTGTCTGATGATGATTAGATATACAGGAAAACTTTTTAGGATTTATCATATATCAAGTTATTAGTACTTAGAAACTCGTATGAACAGTGAACTTAAGTAATCCACTAATCCCTTATTTGTCACATTGACATCCTCCCGTTTGGTTCTTGATTGTAGATGTATAAAGTATGATTTCATGCATATTTACTATAGAAATAATATATTCATCTTTATACATGTTTTTATTTTAACGTTATGCGTGTTCATGTTATGTATCTTATTTTATTTATTGTATACTTTTTGTGCCTCACTTTCATGACATGTGTGCCCCAGTTTGTACTTTGAGCTTCAAGCTCTGGCCGCACTTGCGCCTTTGTGCACCTAGTGCCTTTAGAAACTACTAATACATCTTAGAACAGGAAGTAATTACTTGCAGAACAGACTTTATTCATAAAGGTCAAATGCATAGCTCAGAGCCTCAAATACAGGTTGAGTTATTAGCTAAAAACTCCTTTTGCAACTGAAAGTAAATACAAACATTCGATATCTAGATAACTTGAAAATAATTTTTTGGGAGTTGAGACGATTATGCTTCTAACACTACTATTTCAGTTGCACAACGAACCTGTTCAGCTGTTCTTTGTCCTACGAGTTCTCTAATTTCTAAGGCGTTTAATGATATAAAGAGCATTGACTTGCAGACAAGGTAGGAAAACAAAATTCCGGTTAACTGGGATTTTTACTTTTTGTAATTATAACTTAGCAGAAATTTCAAATTGGGTCTCAACTCAGGGAAATATACATCAAACTACATGAATGCTCATGATGCAAATCAGAACGAACCTCTAAACTCTTGACAAATATATTCTGGAAAATGTAATGGATTCTTGCTCCACCAGATAGCTCGGATGTTGACATCTCTTCATTCTTTCCTTCTATCATCGAAGAGAATGCTGTTTTGAACAAAATTGGATTTTATTAAAACTAGTAATAAGCAGGCACCTGCAAAAATTATGAGGGACAGAAAGTCCATCGATGACCTTGATATTTCATACTTGACAGCATGAGAAGATCTCAAGTGCTATCATGGCCAATTGGGAAACGGTAACACATTGTTGTCTATTCGTGATAAATGATCGGCTTTTAAGTGAAATAAGGAATTAATTTTATCGTTTACGAGCATGTGATGCACATGAAGAATGTAAGGAATTGGCTCAATAACTAAATAGTGAATAAGAATGAAATATCATCATGGTGGCTAGATGTTTTACATCCTGATGAAAAGACACACTACAATAAAATGATGGCAGGTTTAGGGATTATTATTTAATAATACCTTCGGAGTACTTCGAAAGAATGTTTAGTAGTAAAGCCCCCTGCCCAGCCTGTTCACCACAAGGTAATATTTAGCATTCAGTATAATTATATAATAGCATCTACCATATGAATTGGGAAAACCATAAAAAGCCTAAGTGATGTATAAACCCTTGGCACTTCTATTGCTAATAAATTTTATGAAGTGCAACATCAGTGATAAATAAAATAAATTAAAAGGAAGATGGAAATATGGGCGACTTTACATATCTTGCATTTAGAACTCCAAGCACACTAAACTACCAGCTGCAAAATCAATAAAAGTAATTGAACAGAATAAAATAATCCATCATTACTAGAAGAAACCAAACCTTTGATTCAGTAATCTCTCCATAGCTAGCATGCTCCTTTGCAACAGAAACCAGGGCAGTACTGATGCGTGCTTTCAACCCTGGAAGAACTGTCTTAATATGTTGGACCAGAATCTGAATAACGACAAAGAGAGCCTTTATCATGCAACTTAGAAAATATAAAATTCTAAGAAAATCAGTGCAGCCTTGCAATTCATCCATATTAGGGAGCATCACTTCTAGAACCAACTTCAAATTTTACAGGACATCGTTGCTATTAAGAGCATCCTACTTCAAGTTAGTAAAGACAGATAAAAAGGAAAGCATTTGAGGTTTTCTACCTAACCATAATCAAGTAGATATTTAACTAGTTCAATTTATCAATGTCTGCAGGCAAAAATCCTGCCGTGGCGGCGCCATAACCGCCATCCTTCACAATTTTGCCATGGCAGTTTGGCAGAATCCGCAAAGCTATACCGCCATGGCGGAATTTCTGCCATCCGCCATTAATAACACTGCACTATAACGAGTTAAACCAAGAGTCCTTTCAATTAAATATTACAATAATGAGACAAGCCATAGGATTCCATCAAACATTCTATACCTGGTTCAACTTCTTGGCCAACTGAGGGACCCCACAACGCTCAGCAAGGTCACTGTATACCTGAAAAAAGAGTTACTTAAAAATCAATTGAGAGGATAACCATGAGGGGACCAAAAATCAGTAGTTAAAATAAATAGATCATGCTCATACTGGCCGACTGCGGAAGAACTTCTCCTCAGCTACTAGGGCATCCTTGATGCTCCGATTCAATAGAATATCCTGCTCATAATGACAGTAATTACAGAAATGCCGTGCAAAATTAGCATTAATGAATAGAAACATCAATTCCCATCTTAATACACAGATGTAGCAATGGCTGGAAATTTTAGTAACACAAAAACGAAACCAAACGAACCATTTTTTGTGGTAACCGATGGTCAGTTACCTAATCTTATTCAGTTTGGAATTAGTATTTGGACCCAAGCTGTTCGGTTCTACCAACCAAACCAAAACTTAAATATACATATATATATATATATATATATATATGCATGTATATATGCTTTGTCATAGGAAATGCGAGACAACTAATGCCACAGCTGAAAATCCTGCTATTGCTATTTGGACTCTGTTTTGATGCTGAAAATCCTGCTGTTCTTGCCGGAATTTTTTGTGCTTTTTGGTGGCTTACAACACATGTTTTACTACTGCCAATACGCGGCTTTTTTCAAGTTAATTCATTTTCGGTAGTACTGAAAAAATTAATTAACCGAAAAGATACTTCGGTTACGGAAGACTTAAATTCGGATGGTTTTGGTATGCAAGTATGGTATTAATGAAACATTTCGGTCTGGTTCGGTACCGAACCCAGCCCTAGTTATATGATGTAGCAACTTAAATAGAAGAGAGAGAGAGAGAGAGAGAGAGAGAGAGAGAT